AACAAGTGGCTTATTTTGCCTATGTACTAGGTGACACAAATTCAAACATCAGAAAGAAAGAGGACGGATGGTTGTGTAATTAGTTTTCTGCAATGAGATGCGGAAGAACTGGGTCCCATTTGCAGTTCTACCACAGATGACCTGATTCGGAAAAATACTTCATCTCTCTTTGGCTCAGCTCTGTATTCGTAAAATGAGACAATAAAGGTTTTTTTTCTCTGTCTTGTCTATGAACATTTCTGATTTTGACAAACTGGCATTTTCTGACCAAAGTTCATTTAATTCCCAACCAGCTCTATTCAAATTGTCTTCTTTTCCATGCATTTTAACTGCAGCTACAATACTGCAACTGGGTGGCACATTAGAAAGTTACAGCAGGTGGCATGAGTACTAGGGAGGATGTTTCAGGCTGAAGACAGGCTGAAGACCTCTCTTTTTTGCTGGGACTGAGCAACTGATAGGAAAGTCAGTGGACACCTCATTGAATTGAAGAGGCAACATCCGAGAATGGAGTTAGGTACCTGGAAAAAGATGGGCTGAATCAGGTGTGTAGTTGCTTCGCTTTGTCCCAGATACCATTAGATGGGAGCAGAGACCTTCTAGAGGACAGTTCAGGAATGAGTATCTCCCTCATCCTGAAAGTGGCTCAGTTGCCTTTTGAAAGGTTTGCAGCACCATCATCGCTCATTCATTTGAAAGACAGCTTCCCTTTCCCCCCCATTTCCCATTGCTATTATTTTGCAGCCCCGTTCATTTCAGCATATCTAATAGGATAATTTAGTGGCTTAGGGTTTCTCCCTGTCTGCGTCACAGGGCAGCTACTCTGCGTCACTATGGCAGCTGTGACTGGTCACAGAGATTAATACCAGCACCCTGCAAGGGAGCAAACAGACAAGCCATGTAGCCTAAGGCAGATAGGCCTCAGTCCCATTGGTGTAGATGACTCCAGGCAGTAGGGAGACCTGGTCCACTTTACCTGGTCATGAGGCTTCATCTCTCATGGGCCTTCAGACTCCTTGGGACAATTAGCAGCTGGCAGCAGCAGCATCTTTGTTATTTGCTGGCCAGCAGCTCTTCTGGAACTTGCTAGGCAGTAGTTCTGCCAGATATTCAACAGAAGGCAACTCTGCTGGATGTTCTTTCAGAGGCAGGGGTTGTTACCACTCAGTCCCCCAGGTTCAGAGGCCAACAGCAAGGGAGCAGCATCACAATCCTTCCCTGGCTCTCATTCAATTGAACTGGTGGCCCCACCTTTTATACTTCCTGCTCTGCCCTTCTGCTTTGGTATAAACCATAAAGGGGCTGGCCTAGCTCCACCCTGGCTCCCCCCACCAGAGGGCAGAGAGTGGTTCACCCCTATTGATGTCCATTGAATCATAGAATCATAGAGCTGGAAGAGACCTCAGGAAGTCATCAAGTCCAGCCCCCTGCCCAAGGGAGCACCAATCTCAACTAAATCATCTCTGCCTTCGACGGAGAGCAAGTGATTTGTGACAGGGACCCGTGTGTTCACATCTGTGGTGGGAAGTGCCTGGTGCACCACTGTGAGCTGTAAAATAGTGAATGATAAAATAGCCATGGATTTTAACAGGCTTAGCATTTTGCCTGCTCAAACTCCTTGATTTTATTTTCATTTTCTAATGGCCAAGGTGGATCACCAAGATTCAAGATGACTTATCTTCCCAAACAAAAACAGTGGTTGCTATAGTCATCTGTCACTTTCCATCTGAGCAATTGAGACATATACTTAAACTCTTTCTCACAAGTCTTCTCTTTGCAATATTTGAAGGCAAGTTGTGTGTTGGTGGCTTAAAACTTCATTGACTGTGCTTTGGGAAGCTCTCTAAGTCAGGCAAACATTACTGCTCTTGTTCATTAATGAAAAATGATAGCCTTCCACCTACATTATATTCAGTGCTATGACCTGGATTCTATCTAGGTACTTTGATTGGCAGCTATCACCGTGGTCTATGGGTACCGCTGTGGCTGAGGCTAGGATTTTTAAGCCTTTTTGAGCCTTTGAAAATTCCAGTGGGATTTGGTTGCTCAACTTTTTCAGGCCTTTTTGGTCATCCCAGCCTGAGACTGTGGTTAGTTCTATGTGGGTAAGTACAAAACAAGGAGTCCCCCCCATCCATTGTGACCATTTTTAGGGTGCAGTCCCCATCCTTATTCTGAGCAGAAGGATCAGAAGAGTCTAGAACCGTTGATAATTCTGGAAACCACAGAGGTAGAGCAGAAAAGTGGTATGTGGAAAACTCTCTTAAAATTGTAAGCTGCCAATGTTTCCCTGATTTTATTTACAGGAAAGTTTCCTGATCCTGTTTCTTCAGATTAGGTAGGACCACAGATGTTGCTGGACAAGAGAGACCTATCCACAGAGGTTGCCAATGGCTGGAAGGGCAGCCAGTCATTTGTATATAATTGTTCCCTATAGCGATGTGCTACAGGGAGCTACTGGTATCGCTACAGGGAGCAACTATATACAGACCGCTAGCAGGTAGCCTAATAGGCCAGTGGCCAGGAGGCAGGGAGCCTGTCCTAGCTAGTAGCTGGAGCAGGGTTGGGCAGGAGTCCTTGTCAGCTAAGGGCACAGAGATGTCATCTGCCAGGGTCTGGAAAGCCCATACAGCTGGGGACTTGGAGATGCTGCTGGCTAGGAGAAGGGAGCTGGGGCAGCAGCTGGGAGTGGAGCCCTGACATCGGCCAGAGCAGCACACTGACCAGGTGTGTGGCCAGGAGGGGAGCCCTGGGAGAGCCTGGGGCCTGACCTCCTTTGCTCTGGCAAATTCCCTCCATTGGAATCAGTGAGTTCTGGAGGATGCAGGGTCAGGGAGGTCCAGTCTATAGTGTATTGCAGTGGATCAGGGATAACACGGTAAAGTATCAGAGAAAGGTATAACACAACCTAGTGCCTGGAAGTCAAAGCTTGACAAATTCAGACGGAAACTGGCATAATTTTTTTTTAAAACAGTGTAGGTAAATAACCATGGAAACAATTTACCACGGGTTGGGGTGAAATCTCCATCACTGACCATTTTAAAATCAAAATGGCCTGTTTTCTAAAAGAACAGCTCCAGGAATTATTTTGGGGAAGTTTTATGGCCCATGTTATAGAGAAGGTGAGAGTAGATGGTACCAGGGTTGGATACTATGAATATACGAAGGCAAGGAATCAGGCATGTCAGATTTTATTAACAGCACTGATTAGCTATGTAGCATTAGTCTAAACCCCGTGTGCCTCATTTTTCTTTCATGTGCACAATGGATTTTGAACACTCAGATGTCTAGTAGGATGCTGGGAGTTACTCTTCGCAAAAATACTTTGAGATGCTTATGGAAACTCTATGGGTACGTCTACACTGCCACCCTAGTTCGAACTAGGGTGGCTAATGTAGGCATTCAAAGATGAAAATGAAGCCCGGGATTTAAATATCCTGGGCTTCATTTGCATCTTGCCAGGCCCCGCCATTTTTAAATCCCCCTTAGTGTGGACTCCATGCCCACGGCTACACGCAGCACAAAGTAGGTAGTTCGAATTAGGTTCTCTAAATTGAACTACTGTTACTCCTCGTGGAACGTGGTGTACCAGTAGTTCGAATTAGAGAGTCTAATTCGAACTACCTACTCTGTGCCGCGTGTAGCTGTGGGCACGGAGTCTGCACTAAGGGGGATTTTAAAATGGCGGCGCCCGGCAAGATGCAAATGAAGCCCGGGATATTTAAATCCCAGGCTTCATTTGCAACTTCGAATGCCTACATGCAGTGTAGACATACCCTAAGTTCCTACAAATATAAACAAACGGTGTAAAATGAATTCCCAAGTGAGTACAGTGTCTAAAGAAAACTTTTCATTACACCAACCATTCAATTATGTTGTTCACTGATTTTAAATATATTACTTCCTTGATGTGGTAACTAGAAACTGCATAAAGTATTTATATTTTATTTAAATGTCAGCTTCTGAATTTACTATTTCATTATACATTACAGTAATGATCATCCTGTTTATTAGTATTAAATATTTCATGGGTTTTAAAACAGTGTGTAACTTTGTGTAAATGAAGAGAGATCATTACATTCCCCATTGTGTATTAATGTTTTAGCAACAATTTACCTGGAGAGAAAGCAGAGGCAAAATTGTTCTGGGAAAGGAGGTCTGTTTTGTGGTATGTCTTCAGCATGTTATATGCATTATATTTTACCCAAGTAACAGGAAACAAGTGCTAAAACACAAGAACAAGCCCACCATAATAATAATGAGCTGCATGTATATTGCAACTTGGAATTAGAAACCCTAAAACACATTACAAATGGATTTACAACTTATATATAGAATAAAGAAATCTCTAGGAAATTGCAGACAGTTCTGTAGTGAAATCTGATTGCTGATGTATAGTGCAGATCAGTACAGAATGCTTTAGGAGAAAAAACATAGCCCACAAATGCAAGTTCAGGACAACATATAGCTAGACAGCATGCAAATACTCCAGGTAGAATTTGAATTAGAATGGACATCACATCTTCATACTCTAAGTACACCATGTCACCCTTCCATTAACAATGCTCATAACTGTTAACATTTTAAAGAAATAACAACATTTACGTTACTAGAGGGAAATGACATTTTTGAGCAATGTTTTCCCTTTTTTTACAATACCTGCTGATGTATTTTTTTCGATAAGTGGCACGAACATCATGCTAAGAATGTCCATTTGCAAAACAATTCACAGTGTTGTAACAACCAAGTCACACTGCCTATTATAGGAATTGATATCCCCGCACACTGCTATCAAAGTATTGAGCTAAATACCAATTCCACAGCATCCCTTTCCTTATCTGTGTACACTGGAAATTTTTCCTCATACAGTCTCTTAGTCATTTGCAAAAGGAAACTGAATCAGTAGGAGAAAGATGCAGTGCTGTCTTTAGGGTACACCAAATCAGGGCGACCATTCCGGGCCTGCGCTTTGGAGGGGGGTGGGCAGGGCTGTAGGCCATCACGGTAGGCCCAGAAGTGATGTGTCAGTTCCAAAAGTGACATATTCCACCCCAGGCTCCACACCTTCCAGGGACCACCCTAGGAAGACATACAAAAAATGAAATCTCAGAGATACAAAGAAAACAAACTCTGTGAGTAAGCTAATGATTAGCTCAGTGAAGAATAGCAAGTGGTTGGGCTTGGCATATGACTTTCCACCATTTTGTGCTTCTATGCAGGCACTATTTGCAGCTACAAGGCTTCCATTCTATAAGTGAAACAGCTTCAACAAATGTATTGCCAACACTGTTGGTGCTGTGTAAAGAGCAGGAGAGGGACAAGGAGATGGCAGTAGTCAAAACGTTCCACTATACAGATGAGTAGCAATGGGCCATTGGATGTTTCCAGAAGGAACACTTTTCCCTGCATTCATCATTCTTCTAGAAGGTACAATGTTCTGCATCCGCCAAGGTATTTAGGATACTAGCCCTCAGACTTTGGCTTGTCTACACGGTGCAGTAGTGCACATTAGTTGAGTGTAAATTTTAATGGGCACCAATGTGTTGTACTGGCCCCTGTAGGCCCCGCAGGCACAGTTCCTTAGTGCGCATTAACACAGAACTGTTTGAAATAGGACTATGTCAATGTACAAGAGGGACATTTTAGTGTGCCACTAGTTATTACACAATAGGCCTCATCCTCCTTGATTGGATCCACCTGGTCATCTCCAGCCTGATCCTGGCCTGCATATTTATTCCTGCCTCTGGAAATTTCCACTACATGCATCTGACGAAGTGGGTCTTTGCCCACGAAAGCTTATGCTCAGTTATTACACAATAGGTCGGTACACATCCTAATTCACACCCCACTAATGTGCACACCTGCATCATGCAGACAAGCCTTTATGTGCTAAGTCCCATTCTTAGGCACCACTGTGATCCACAAAACCCTTGTTCACTGTTGCCAAACCCTGCAGCTACCTACACTTTTTTCAATGCCTGTGTGGTTGCAGTAAACGTTCCTTAAGATCCTGTGTTCTGTCTCTGGCAAAAACTACCCTAGCAGTATTTTAAGCACAGCCATTTCTTCTCCTTCTCCATTAGGAGGAAATTACCGGTGGACTAATGTGGTGAGGGAGTCCACCATTCTCCTCCATTGGACTACCCCAGTTTTCCCCCGAAGGAAATGTACAATAGAAGGGAGTGGGAGGAGTTTCAGCAGAGCACAATGTTTCCAGAGGAGGTGGCCTCCTTGACTGGAGTAAACGATAGACCCCTTTTTATGTAGCAGCATTGTATTAAGCCCACTGTGCTTAGGCCCTCTTAGTCTTAAAGTAAAGTGCAGGATTTGGCTTCTCATTCTTTATTAAACCGTAAGCCTAGACAAGGACTTAATCCTATTGCTGTATCAAGGGCTGATCTGTCTCAGAGTTTCTGGCAGTACGGTACAATAAGTAGTCCGGCAGGTATATATGACATGAGTCACATTTGCAAACATCTTATATGTGGTGACAACATACACACTGTATTTGTAACTGAGGGTATGTCTACTCAGCAAGCTTATTTCAGAAAAAGCTATTCTGGAAGATATCTTCCAGAATAGTTTATTTTGAAATAGAGTGCTCACACTACAGGGAAGCCTCAAAATTAGTCTGAGACAGTTCCCCTAATGTCGACATGCTATCTTGATTTAGAGCCCTGGGGAGGAATAACTTTAGAATGGCCCTGGTGAGGAGCTATTTCAACATAGCAGCAGTGAAGTGTCTACACACCCCCTCGTCCGAAAGAGCTTTTTCAGAAGAGGCATTATTCCCCATGGAATGAGGTTTACTAACATCTGGAAAAGCTCTCTGTTATTTCAATTTTCTTTTGAAATAACACAATTGCTGTGTGGATGCTAGCATTGTTTTTCTGGAACAATGATCCTGTGTAGACTCACCCTAAGTTGTTGTATGTCTATTTGTACAATTAAGTGCCTCTTCCTATACATGCTGTGGAGTTTCATGTTCTATGCATTTTGCAGCCAAAATGTAGCCCTTGGAAAGTGTGGCCATTTGAGAATTTGTTTTAAAAATCATTTTATTAAAAAAGAATTTAAGACAGAGGCAAGTTTAAGTTCACGAATGTGGTCCTTGGGAAGGCACAAATAAGAAAATACACTGGTTATGTCTTTTATAGGCCCCTTTACTACTTCCATCCCCAGTATATTTTGTCCATTTTATCTTGATGAAACAAAAGTTGCTGCTGTTTTGCCTACAGAGAGTTTGGTCTTATGGGATGACTAGGATTCTAGTTCCCAGCTCCATCACAGTATTTCTGAGAGTCATTGGTTACTTAATCTCTCTGGTTTGCTATGAAATATACTCAATAGACCAAGCAATGTAGATCAGGTTTATTAATATGATACAGGACAAGATTATATGTGATAACGATCTCAGAGAAGCTGTCTTGTGCAGTGATCTTGCATTCACTTTGTGCTGTGTGCTCCCAGACTTATACCCCTAGAGCTAAATTTTTTGTACCTTATTGGTTTACTGGAGAAAGGTACCATATACATCATCTGAAACTAGATTTACCCGATCAGCTTTTTACCTTGTTTTTCTGATACCATCATGAATCTCTTATCCCCTTACCTTGTTTTTTTTTCTGATATTGTAGTGTACCCCTTTAACTAGGACACTGAACAAATGTAACTTGATTTTGACAACCTTTCTGTTTCCTTATGTCATATAATTACTTCCACAAATGCAAGTAATTATGGGAGGCTTAGCTGAAGTGAGCAGGACCATAGTATAGAGGGCAGTTTAAGTGATATCACTGTTACAATATGTGTGCTTACTGTTATTGGTGCTTAATACATATAATATATTCACAGAAGTGCTCATAAAGCATATTATTATAGCCAGCTTATATTAATCAACACCTTTTATGTGCACGTAAGTGCCCAGCGCAATTGGGCTTAGCTCTCTTTCATAATTCCATAATACTGCAGTTACTATTAGTAGACAACTTTTATGCAGCATACTAACTAAAGTGGAAAAGGATTTAAGTAGAGTCAGATATCTGTAACAATTCCAAAATTTAGTGTACGTTTTCCATAAGTTGAAGTGACTTGTTTTTTGTTACATGCATTTGTGATTTCATCCTAATTACAGGCCTCTTTATCCTTGATAAATTAAATCCCGTGATTTCACCATAAATAGTTCCATTGCTCTCAGTCTTATGTGCAAAATAAAAATTACCTCAAATTAAATGCTCTCACTGTACACTCTATATAGAATTTGGTTGCTATTTTATTTGCTTCCCGAAAACGTTGGTCATTCAACACAAACAGACATTTCACCTCCTAGGTTGACAATAAAAGACACTCCCCACTCCTGGAAAAAGCTTTACATTGGCATGGTTAATGCACCAGAGTATCAATGCCTAACAACACAACAAAAGTAAAAAAAAAATGGAATCAGAAACACATGTCTTACAGGTAGTAAATTCTAACTTCTGGTAAAAGGCTCAAAGAAAATGTTGATTATATAAAGCCAAAACGTTGTTACACAAAATAGATTTTATTAGGTTCTTCTAGAAGTGGAATGATGACAAGTTGATAAATGCCATTGCATTACAGTAAAACATTACCAAGGCACACAAATCCCCCCCAATTTCCCTCAGTGGTCATTGAAAGGTTAAGTATAATAGGTGCTCAATAAATACAGTACTATTTAAAAGGGAAAGACAGCAGCTACCTATTCATTGTTTTCAAGTTATCAGACATCTGTCTCTTTCTCTGTCCACAAGCACATTTTGAGCTAGAGGTTATGAATGGAGGTTATGAATGGGCATTTTCTACAAACTGCTGTAAGTAACGTGGGATATACTAATTCTTAACTGGGCTTAATATATGCTATAATATTGGAAAAGAGAATGCAAACATCTTTAATTCTTCCTAGCTAAATGGCAATAAATAAAACTTACACTTTTAAGTTAATGTTAGTTTGAAACCAAAATTAATATTCTTAAAAAAACCCACACACTTTTCTTATATAGTTTGCTTTTGACATAATTATTTCCTCCCCAGAAAAATAATAAACTATGTTGCCGTTAATAGGCAACATTAACTTAGGCAAACAACTTATTTCAATCAGTTAATTCTTCACTTACATTATGAAAGATTCAAAGCTGCAGAACATGATGTTTGTAAACACCAGAAATGTTTATTCTGTCAGGAATATCAAGTTTTTGTTGTTGTTTTTTTACTTTCTCACTAGTCTCTGTCCAGAGTTCTGAAAGGCCGAATGCATAATAAGGGTGGTAAATTTCTTCACCAGCCTGGAAGATATTCTCTTTCAGATTTTGGACTGAGTTAAGGAAATGGGTTTGCTTCATGTCCTGTCTGCTGGCATAACCAATTTATCCATGGCCCGATGATGAGATCGCATATGTTTGATACTGGACAGATGATTCTTTATCAACTTCTGAAATTTTTTCTTCTCACATTTCACAGGGCACCTTTCAGAGCCTGGTGTACAACACAGAGGAGGTAGCTGGCTGTTGCAAATTACTTCCCAAGACACAGATCTGTTGCTTTTCAGAGGAGTGGCTGTAGACTTTACACACTCCATGGACTCGTGATGGTTATGCATGGCACTAGATGGACTCCTGGAAAGACAGGTGGCTTTCTTCCTTTGGGACAAGAGCGTTCTGATCTCTGTAAAATCATGCTCAAAAAAGAGAGATTCTTTCCTTCGAATGTTGGGAACCTCTCCTAACGTGAGAAAGCCATATGGAGTGGTGATTTTGGCGAGATGGGGCAAAGAGAGAGCAGCTCTGGTTGCAGGATCAGAGTGGTCTGCCACTTTCTCCAAATCTCTGGAGGAAGCTACCCCATCTGTAGAACACAGAGTCTCTCTTCTGAACAGCTTCCCTTTTCTGCAGACAGTTTCTTTTCGGATGCAAATTTCAGATTTGCTTCTGGTTGGTCTGGGTTTTTTGGCTAGTTCGCTCAAGATTCTTCTCTCTAGAGAATGCTCTTCTTTGTCTTCCACTGGCTCCAACTGAAGGGAAATGTGCTCCACATCCAGAGAGGGGATGAAAAATTTTGGGATGCGATCTGGAGTCACAACAATGTTGAAAATGTCTCTGTTTTTCAGTGCTCCATTATCTTCAGGAACTGGCTTGCTGATTTTGAAACTTGTCCAAGTGAGCATACTCTCGATAGCACTTTTTAGGGAAGGCTTGGATACTGAAGACATTATTTCAGCCTGAAGAGACTTTAAAAAACCCCTGTGCTGTTTGCTGGTTGAATTTTCAGTGCCCTGATTGCTGGTAGGGGAGTCATGCCTGCTTATAAAACAAAGCAAGTTACGTCATTCCATAGCCAGACGTCATTGGCATGGCAACCAAAGATAAGAAGGCTTTTACACACCTACTTACACTTACGGAGTGATTCATGCTGCATCATTACCTTAAAGCAGCTTTTAAGAGTTTCACATTTAAAAATGCCAGGTTTGGGTTCAGTGCTTTCTAAAACTTTAAGAAGAACCACAGTGATAACATTGTATTTAATTTTCATAATATTTATGTTCTAGAGAATGTCTTTATGTGAAGGATAAAGCTGACCTTTCTGTTTCAGCAAGAGAAAATGATACCACAAAGTATGAAAACATTTGCTAATGTGTCAATGTGGTTAGGAAACATGCTTCATTTGCTTTTTTTTTTTTTTTGGTGCCTCTTTAGCTCTCAGCAGCTCATATTATTTTGTGTATTTGTAACAGGAAATTATCTTTGATCATTGGAAGACTGGAGGAAAGTACAAAACGTAGTGTGGTCAGACAGCACGTAGATACAAGATTTTTATTTATCCCAAGAGAATCTCAACACCCTTGAAACGATAGATATACATAAATTACCACTGAAATGTAGTGGGTGGGAATGAGAGGAAGGGGCGGAGAGGAAGGGGCGGAGAGGAGCAAATGTAGAAAGGAAAAAAGGTTTGTCCAGGGTCAATGGGAAGACCATTTTGAACCAAGTTCTGCACTACTTTGGAGCAGTATCTGGGTGCGTATACACTGCATGGCTATTTCGGGATACTGGAGGTATCCCAAAAGAGCTACCCTACATCTTCACAAGCCACTCGTTATTTTGAAATATTTTTCAAAATAATGGGTGCGCTGTTTCACCATCCCAGTAAACCTTGTTGCACGAGGGATAAGGGATGGCTCAAAATAGTGCGTTATTTCAAAATTTGACACTGTGTAGATGCGTCAAATTTCAGAATAAGCTATTTCACAATAGATTCAAAATAAGATACACAATTTGCATAGCACAAATTGCGTATCTTATTTTGAGTTTAGGGAGCTGTGTAGATGCACCTTCTGTTAAATTGTTGTCACCAGCTGCCAGGATTATCATCTCATCCTGTAAGAGGATCTTCCAATGTCTTGGAGCTGGTGTACTCCCTTCTAGCGGCTTTTATAGGAGGTGTGACCAGATTGTTCCTGTGCTTTAGTGACTCCCCAGCCTTTTTATGGGAATTCCAATCTGGCATTAGTTGGAATCACCTCCTAGCATCTACTCTTACATGGGAGGTTTTATATTCACACAGAGCTGACCAAACCTTGGTTTTGAAGGTCTCATCTGAAACACACAGCCCAGCTCCAGTGAGCAAGGGCTAGCCAACACAGGTAAAGCTGCATAACCCAGCTCATAGGTGAGCAATGTGGAGCACCTCTCAGGTCAAGGTAAGGGATGGAAATGTTGCTTTTTAACATTAGACACATTTACATTCAGTACAAACCATGTGTCTAATAATGAGCATAGCTTATTATGCAGAATTACAGTAGCACCAGGAGACCCAACCTGATGTTGGGAATCCATGGAGCTACATGCTGTACAGACAAACAGTGAGAGACCTTCCTTTTCCTAATGCCTCACCAGATATAGGATTAAAGGGAGATGGGGGCCCAGAGAGGTGAAGTAACTTCCCAAAGTTACACATCATATCAATAGCAGAACTGGGACTAGAATGCAGGGCTAGTAACTCAGCCATCTAGACATTAGACTTTTCTGCTTCCTTAGAAGACTTTGTCAGATGCTACCTAATGATTCCTCGGTCTAATAAATATGTTCAGACCTCACTGATATCAGTAATAGACTTTATTCTCAATACTGAAGTGTAAACTTTGAGCTTTGACACAAGCAGCAGAGATAATTTTTTATATCTTTGTGAGCAATTCAAATATCCATTTCAGTGTAAAATTTTGAAATAGTGAATACCATCCAATGGCACTTACTATACCAATGATTTCTCTTAAGATGTACTTGAAGTAATAGTGTCAGAGGGGTAGCTGTGTTAGTCAGGATCTGCAAAAGCAACAAGGAGTCCTGTGGCACCTTATAGACTAACAGAGGTATTGGAGCACAAGCTTTCGTGGGCAAAGACCCACTTCACGACGTGGATCTTTGCCCACGAAAGCTTGTGCTCCAATACGTCTGTTAGTCAATAAGGTGCTACAGGACTGCTTGTCGCTTTTGAAGTAATAGTGTATGGTTTAATTCTCTGGAATAGATTTGCTTTCTCCTTTCACTATGTCTCACTGCAGCATAGTTTGATTTGTAGGTTGAATAATCTCTTATTAATCTTGTATCTGCAAAAGATGTTCTTGCTTCGGGCAATATACACTCTGATCCAAACCTACGGAAATCAATGGAGATACGTTTAGTGACATCACTGAGCCTTGGATCATCCCTCTAATATATGGAGATGACACTTTGAAATGTAATGAGTATAAGAGTGTCAGGGTTTTGAGGAGAAGCCAGTCTATGTGCATTTTAAAATAGCTTCACATAAAAAATGTCATGGAAACCTTTCTCTTTGATTTGATCATTTTCTTTTCATACTTTTCCATTTTAATCTTGCACAGCAATGTCTTCTTTTCTTTCTTCTCTTTTAGTGGAGTTTCCTGAGAACCCCTTTAGCTACAGACAAAATCAAAAGGGAAAAAACGCAAGAGAGGATTATTTATGAGACATTTTTCTTTGCTCCTCTTAGTCACGTATTTAAATAGAATTTTGTAGGCTGTTTTAAAGCAAGCCTTCATCTTTGGAATTTGGACACAGATAATGGTCTTTCATCCTACTTAGAGAGAGAGCAAGTGCCTAGTATGGATGAATGTACAGATACTTAGCACTTACACTGAGCTTTTCATCTTCAAAGCACTCTGCAAACATTCACTAATTAATTTTCACAATACCCCTGCAAGTGATTACGATCCTACTGGAGTTTTCTATGAACATAAGAGAGAAAGGGAAACAGCTAATGAACATGTGGTAAAATTGGTTTCCAGAGAGCAACAAACTGTACATCCAATGCACAAGAATAATGTTTTGTTGCAAAAAAAGTCTGCTTCTGGAAGTTCTTCAAAGTGCCTCGCTAGCTCATAGTTCTATGTACATTGTCACTCTGCTTTACCTAAGTTAATGTCTCACACTGTGGCTGTGTCCAGACTCAGGGTTTTTTTTGGAAAAAGTACCCTTTTTTGAAAAAACTTCACCTGCGTCTAGACTACAGCCGCGTTCTTTTGAAATTAAATCAAAAGAATGCAGCTTTTCTTTCGACGGCCGTAAACCTCATTTCACGAGGAAGAACCCCTTTTTTCGAAAGTGCTCTTTCGAAAAAAGGCGTTCTTGAATGCCAACAGGGCTTTTTAGAAAGAAAGCATCCAGACTCACTTGCTGCTTTCTTTCGAAAAAGCGGCTTGCTTTTTCGAAAGTTCCGCTTGCAGTCTAGACGCTCTTTTTCGAAAGAGGCTTTTTCGAAAGTATCTTTCGAAAAAGCCTCTTTCAAAAGAGGCTCGCAGTCTAGACATAGCCTGTAGTAGTACATTTTCACCAGATATAAGCTACAGAATTGCTTTTGAATCTATATGCCTCTCTGAAGCATTTTGTGCATGCACTACAAAGCACCTGAAACTTTTGCATGTGCGATTTGTATGCATCCAAACCCTTCTAAATAGTGGGAATGTGAGAATACTGACAGTTTGCAGCTGCAAAGTGCAGGTAAATGCTTGCCATGCCTGTACACTTGTGGAAGGCCCATGCCAAATTTGCCTTACAGTTTTCTAATAATTTCCAACAAGAATAACAAACACAAAAGAAGCAGAGTTTCCAACAACATTGTCTGGTAATGTCTTTCATTAATTAACATAAGCAGAAGATTGTCAGATTGGAATGATTTCGGTGATAATATTTACTCCTACCTGGGTTTTTATGCAAGAATACAGCCCTGAACTCAGTTACAGGGCTTGCTTTTTTTGTTTGTTTGTTTGTTTGGGGTTTTTTTAGAATGTGCATATCTGAAGGCCTCTTTCCCACAGGTAAAGGTTCTCAGCTACTATTGCACCAGCATGTTCATAACTATAAACATGGCTGGATGATGACGTGAGTCCAACCTCAGTGCTATGTGGAATCTCATCCAATTCTCTGATCAATGGCGTTTTTGTGGTGGCTTCCTTCCTTTGAAGTTCTGGATCCACTGTCCTTAGGACTACATTCACCCTGAGCCTTTTGGGGAGCATTGCAAACAAGCCATTTGGATGCCTAACGAAGGGGAGACATCTGAAATGTGATGGAAAAATACGCAACAACACAATGATCTCAGATCTTGGAGAAAAATAAATCCCATGTTGTTCTACCTTTTGATTCACTCAGCCAATCCACTTTGAAGAAAACCCAGATTTGGGTAAGGTGCTGATTTGGCAGTCTCTGTTTGGCAGCCTTTGTTTTGAATGCCTTTGCTTTTATGATCCTGATTTTCAATCTCTTCCACTTACCTATATGAAAACCAGGATATGGCTAAGGAATAGCACTGGTAAATTATTCATTCTAGCCTTACAACGTGACTCCCAAGATTTCATCACTTCTGTTTTGTGATGTGAATAATTCAGTGCCGCAAGAGAGGCAGAGCTTGCTAGCACAGTGCTCTCAGTCTCTTCCTCTTCAGTTTCCTTAATGACATTACACTTCTCAGTCCTATGCTAAAAGCTGTGGGCTGAATCTCAGCTAGCAACTCTCAAGTCCTCACCAGTGGAACTGTTTTGAATTTGACGAGAAGTCACCGGAAGGAATTTATGTGTATACACTTACATCCTCTGGTGCTATTCAGCTGCCACAGTACTGTGCTATCATAGGATACTTTGGAAAATAAATAAATACTACCCTCTGGTGTTTTTCCCCTGTAAATATTATTGAGCTATCCGTCCTCCTGTGAAAGAAGCAATACATGGCTGCATTCGTAAC